CATCACCTCTTCGAAAGGTCTTCATCCAACGAACAGCTCTATCAAGAGTGCTCAGGTGCCCATCAATCCGTAACCACTGCTTAATGGCCTCCCAAACCTGCTTTGAGATTACACACCCAAAAAACAAATGATCAATGTCCTCAAGGGTATCCCCACAGAGGGTACACTCCATAGGCAGGCCCAGAAACTCTAAATTTGATTTAGTGGGCAGCCTCCTCCTAAATACTAGCCACATCGTAAAGGAGCATTTAGGAGGAATAGTCGAGTGCCAAATAAAAGCCATCCAAGGCTTGGGGTTGGCCTTCACCCTAAGCAAATCATACACCTTGCTCGGAACAAGGTTATCGCCCTCACACACAATCTGCATAGCCACTTCCATGGAGGAGTTATGGCTGCCAAGCTTCTGGACAAGAAGCTCTCGCACACATGCAATCCTTTTGAAGAGGACGGAGTATCTCTTCTTAGGCTGCCACTGCCAAACATCATCATGTATAATAAATATATTATGCACCCATTTGACCCATAGTGAGTCCTTCTTTGATGCAATATTCCAAAGGATCTTGCAAAGGAGGGCATTGTTCCAAGTCTCAGCATCTCTAAGACCCAAACCCCCCCTCTGCTTTAGGTTTACAAATATCGGACCATGCCACTTTAGCAAATTTACTCCCCCAGAGGAAGTCCCGGCAAAGGGAAGTGATACGATCAAGGACATATTTCTATACTGGGAATGCCTGTAGCCAGAATGATTGGACCCCCTTGGATCACTGCCCTGATCAACATATTTCTGTACGATCAAGGACATATTTCTTTTTCATTTTCAAGAAGAAGAAGAAGAACAAGAAGAAGAAGAACAAGAAGAAGAAGAAGAAGAAGAAGAAGAAGAAGAAGAATAATAATAATAATAATAATAATAATAATAACAACAATAACAACAATAATAATAATAATAATAATAATAAATCTTTATGGGATCTGATCTGATCTGGTCTGATCTGATTGGATCTGATCTGATTTTTTCTGATCTAATCTGATCTGATTCGATCTAATCTGATCTAGTCTGATCTGATTTTAACAAGAATAAAAAAAATAAGAAAAATTAAGTTGAACGGAACAGGGCCTTAGTTGTGGTGATGACACGTGTCATGCCACACGTGCATACTACTGGTATGTGTCATGCAACATGTAAATCACAAGGCACATGTCACTCCACACATGCATATTTAATTCTATATTAAATCTAATGGTGTAAATATAGCCGGGTGGGTTGACCGGGCTTGACCTGGACACACTCGACCCGTAGTAAAATACACACAACAATAGCATAAAGTATGACCTAGACCGGGTAAATCTCCTCAGTCCAAATTATATTTATTACTCTATCTCAAGAGTGAACTTTAGTGAGAGAAAAATTGGATCCCCTCCTCTATCCATAATCATCATATTTATAAAGGATTTGTGACCTCCCCCTGTTCATCCATGGACGAAATAGGAAGCCCGTGGGAAGGTCATCCTTCTTTGGCTTATCGGTTTTCACCTTTGTATAGCCTTCTTCCAGCTCCCGCTTGTTCTAGTTTAGGACCTCCGCCTCGGCATACTCTCATGCCGTATTGTAGGCTTCCTGATAAGAGGAGGGTGGCCTTCTACAAAATTCAGTGTAGAGGTCACCCGACCGGAAGGCATTCATCAGCAAAGACATGGTCGTCTTATCGTCCATCTCTTCTACTTTGTCAACCTCATCTCTCCAGCGAGTCAAGAACTGAGTCAAGGACTCCTTCTCTCTCTGCCCTGCCGTGTTAAGGTAGGTGAACTTCTTCCTTTTGATGCAGTTGTCCTAGTACTTCTTGCGGAAAACTTCAGCAAGTTTCTCAAAGGACCTGATCCTACCATGAGGAAGGCCATTAAACCATTCCACTGGCCTCCCTCTCAAGGATGAGAAGAAGAGTAGGCACTCTTCAGCGTCAATACACCCGGCCATTTGCGCAGCATTATGGAAGGTGTCAAGGTGGACATTTGGATCCTCCTTTCCCATGAATTTCTCCACGTCCAACTTGACCTTCCGCCTCAATTTTTGTGCATGTACCCTGGCCGAAAAGGGTGACTTCGCCAGGGTATGCTTCTTTGCTCAAAACTTTTCTTCTACTTTTTCTTCCAGGGCGCGTAGCTTTCTTGCTACACTCCCTATCTTGTCCAGATCATCCTCATCATACGAGAGTCTGGTGTATGCCGACGCCTTGGGCTGGCTTTCGGCCTCTTCCTCGTCTAGGTGAATCGTCTCAGATTCCCTAGAACGACGTGATTGGGTAGGACGACCTCCGCCAAGTCTTTCCATTACGCTAGTCCGGCCCATCTCAGGACCAAGA